TGCACTTCCAAGTGTTATACAGATGAGAGGGAATGTTCTGACATATGCTTCTGAGATTTTAAAACTGACAGTGTAGATTAATTTAGTAATAAGTTACACCCCCTAATAGAAGCACACTTTGCAGTGTGAATCTCAGGTTTGACATGCTGTCTGTCATTATCATTGTCTTGGCCTAACGTCTCTGTCACTATAACTTTTTCAGTCACTGCCTAAAGTTTGATTCTCTTTGAAAATGTAAGTAGAGTGCAAAACACAGGTTGCAACTGTTAGCTATTTAGAAAGCTTTCGAGGTTCCAACACTGCTCACTGGGAAACAGACAGATGCATGTGATTCATTTTCCCACATCTACACACACAGACAGATACACAAACAAACACACACCCGCACAGATACACACACACACACACACACACACACACACACACACACACACACACACACACACACTCTGACTCATAACTTGCTGTGTTTTTAGCCATAGGGAAGTCCTTTATCCACATAACTAGATTAACTCACAGTGAGCACTGATCAGCTTAATTTGGATTCAGCCTACTTAGCCTTCCCTGGTCTGCCTGTCAGTCTGCCTTCATGTTCATCTATCATTCTGTGTGTTTGAATGGCAAAGTATTTGTCTACATGTCTCTCTGTCACTTTATTTACACGCCTCTCTCTGTCTAGTCTTTAACAAGGATTATATTTGCAGCAGTTTTTAGCTTTTTTAACTCCTTTCTCACTTACAAAATTATTTCAAGCACATTTCAAGGTTTTTTTTTTCTTATTCTTTCCTTTTATTTTTTTTAGTTTTTGCTTTTAATGAATAACACCCTGACAAGGATTGATGAATATAGTGTAGCTTTTACTTTTCCCCCCAAAAAATGCAATTTGCTCTAGAGTCTTGTTTTTTTTTCCTTTTTAAACCAAATGTAATGAACTCATTCTGCCTCTGTGTCTTGGCAGGATGTCAATGCAATATATTGACCACATTAGTCTCTCAGTGTTTTTGGATTGCATAATCTCTAGGATGTCCCCAGGGACTCATTGACAGCAAACATACAGATATATGTTTAAAAAAAAACTGAATTTGATCACCATTAAGTCAACCATTACACAAAAAATGTGATACTTCTCTCATTACATTGGTTTACAAGTTTACAAGTCACAGTAAATGTTATATTTGTACACAGATAATTTGTGCTGTCCAATCAGTCACTCTGTTGGGTAGAGGAAGAGAAATCACAGAGTGAACATGGATATTACATTTCACCAGAGAAAAAAACAACAACAAGACCAAAGAGTTCGTAATATGGCAGAATTGTAGATTATAAAAATCTATTTAAATGCCATGTAGCCCCACAAAAATACTTTTTGATTAATAGTTAAACTGTTATTTTTTTGTTACTTTCAGGACCGTTATCTTGAGCTCACTTCCACAACCTCGATTTTCCTCAGTGCTTAAGTTGGCTGTCAGGTAGTGCTAGTGTTTGGAGTTTTGGTCCTGAAAAAATAACTTCTGACAACATTCAGAAAATATTGTCATCTATTATTTATTCTATGTGGTTGCAAGCCCCACTCCAGAGAAGTTTGTTTTGTAATCTTTTTTTTCTTTAGTTTTTCAGATTCACTTTACCGCATAATTAACCTAAGGCCACAATCACTCAGGTCTAGAGACTGGTTGGCAACCCCCTAGGACCCCACAGGTTGTTTTACTTTGAGTGTAAACAGTCTCTTTTTCATAGTTTCAGTAGTACTCTGTAGTTAGTGAGTGTTTGTGGACAAAACAGCATCTTCCATGCAAATTGCAACTGTGGAAATTTGTTAGCAACCAGAACATTCACAAAGAGGTTTTCAGTGCAGTTCTCTATACCTCTTTGTGACCAATTACACCTGGCCAGGGGGTAGCCAACTGGTCTCTAGAAATGTGTAACTGGGGCTTGTTCTTATGACAGAGGTTACACTGCATTTTTTCATGTTCATTAACTTTAGTTTCACTGCATATTCTCCCCCTTGTCATCCTCACTTTCTGCAGTGTCTCTGTGTCTTCTCAGATTGAGATGCTACTTTATGGCAATAATAATAAGCCTTGTTTGTTACTGAGGTCTGAAGCAGAACGAAAACAACGTGGGGGCAAAGGCTCGAGAAAGTGATGGACACAAAATGGGAGAGGATGACGATAAGTAGACATGAAAAGTAGAATACTATGAAAGGCCAAAGGGAAGGTGGGGACAAGGAGTGTTACAGAAAGAATGAGATGCTGAGGAAAAGAAGAGGGAGACAAATAATAAGGGATGGAAGGAAAGTAAGGATAAGTGAGGAATTGAGGAGAAGGTGGGGGGCAGCAAAGAGGGAGCTGAGGAGGCGCTGGGCCTGGGGGATTGCTGTGCGTTTATCCTCCTCTGCAGCAGGCTTCTGAAGCACTACCTCAAGAAAAGACTTTAAAGCAGGGTGGCTACAGCTCTGTGCTGATCTGTTAATACCCACAGATACATGAGGCTTCGCCATAGTACTCTGGGGATGGGGTGGAGCGGGACAGTGTGTATAAGTGTGCATGGGAGTTTGTGTGTGTGTCTTTTTTGTTACGTGTTCAAGGATCATATCATATCTCTGCAGACGATTTTCCATCCCCACCGTTAGCTTGCTCCAACTCACCCTGAGACATGAAGTTACCAGAGCGATTAAAAGATTAGATTGGGCTATCATGTGGCTGTGTGTCACCTAAAGCTGGTGCTGCAAGGGTGGAGCTGGGAGGTGGGAGGTGTATGACTATCCTGTTTTAAGATCCTGTATAAATAGACTCATGCCTCCCGGGAATCAGTGTAAAACACCCCCAGAGCCACAGCATGCAGCAGAAAATATACACACTGGTAGGTGAAAGAGCAGTATAGCTGCTTCTCAGAGGACCGCGTTCTGTGCTCTCGGGGAGTCCATGCGACTATACACAAGAGGACATGGTGTGATGATTAGAAGATGTAACGATCTTTTTATTTTGGGGTATTCCTCCTATTTCCTTTCTCATAATGTGAAAAATGGTTTAGATTCCTTTTCAACACTCAATGAAACAGTGAAATGGTTAAAAAGTAAAACGTCTCATCACCATTCTAAACAACTAATTAAGATATGCATACCCATATTCACTGACTTATGTATTTTTTCAAGTCAGGGGACTATAACGGTGATATCTAAAATGATAAAAGTCCCTTCACAGAGGCAATTAGAGGGGAAAAAGGAGTGGATGGACAGAATGATAATAACAAACAAATGAAAAACAATGTAACAATCTCAAGCCCAGTGAGGATTTTGCATCATGCGGCTTTTGATCACGATAAGCTTCAGGATCTCAGCAAGGCCCAGTGCAACTGTTTAGCTGCAGTCGCCAGAAGATTCCTTTTGTTTTCTATACTTTGTTTGTGGTGAATAGATAAATCATCATGGTAGAAAATCAATGTCATGCCATTCACTTTTGCTTCAACTTTTTTTCCCTTGAGTTCACATTCGCTTGATCACAGCATTACTTTGTTTAGAGTCAAATTTCTGTAGGTATTTGTTAAACTGCTTTCTTTCTATCCGCAAGGGCCTCTTATCCACTTGATCAAAATACCCCTATTCTTAGCAGTCTATTAGAATGATATGGTTAACCAAGCATGTGATATATCCTACAATAGTCTTTAACGACGGTGTAAACACAAGTGGTACCGGGTCGCTGCTCTGTGGTACTTGCGCACAGAGCCTTTGCAGCTTGTGTGTAAATGTGTCCTCTTATGCATGAAATATCACAGTCCTTACAAAACATCTAATCTAATCAGATAGCCTTTTAATCTAGTGGTTTAAAATACTAAGGCGGATTTGTTGATTCAGCATGTAGTAGCCTCAAAAGTAATTGAACATTATTCAAGGTTAGCATTCTTCTCCAGGCTGATTTTGGATACAACTGATTCCCCTTTTCATATTGTGTCAGCCTTATCTGGCTACTCTGCCATTTGCAGTGATTAAAAGAGATTTAGGTTCCATTGTGAATTAAAAAATGATACTGACACTATATACTATTTAAGCTGTGGCACAAAAAGGCTCTCTTCAACTTCAAGAGCTGGATAAAAATGTCTCACACACGAGTAATATCTGGGAACATTCATTCACCAAAGATTATTTCATAAATATTCTGCATAGTTTTTTGGAGCCCTTTACAGTGTATATAGCCATAAGGCACACCAAAGAATATCTGTCATGCTTCAATCAAACGAACATTTAACCAAGTCCTTGTGATTTCCATTGAAGTGTGACCTGATAAATTGTAAATACTGTTTTACCAAATTAAGAGGCCTAAATCCTGGAGTGTCATGTTGCTGACTGAGTCTGTGGCTTCTAATCTAAACATGCAGTTACAGGGCAACTGGGTATCAGGACAAAGTTTGTAGACTCCAGTTGCACAGTAATTAATAGTTAAATACCTGTGTCACAGTCTCAAGGGTCCACTGCATCTTACCCTCAAGGTAAGAGTGGCAGACTCAGTCGTTGTGTAGGACAGGACTGTGCAATGGCTGCATCGAGGTGAGAGGATGTGGGGGTATGAGGGTATGCATGTGTGTGTGTGTAGGGATGGGCTTGGGGGGGATTGCAGATCTAAAGCAGGTAATTAAATGAAGTTCGTAGACTTTACTCTTCCACTCTCCTATGTTTCTTGAAGTATCCCTCACTCTCTAACCTTGCACCTGAGATGAAGATGGCAGTTAATGATCTTTTTTAAAACCACTTTAGCGCCCGCTCTATAGCTCAGTCTTTTACTCTCCAGACAGACCAAGGTTTTTTTTTTTTCTCCTCCTTTTTCATCCTGGGCCCATACACCATTTTTCTCTGTTCCATTAGCAAATTGCCTCCCTCTCTTTCCTCCTCGTTTCCACCATCCCACCTGCCCCTAACACCCCCATTAAAAATCTAACTGGGGGATTAATTTATTTAAACTGGAACAAACAAAGAAATTCACTCTTGGGTATGTTTTATTTTTCAGAAGTCGAGGAGGAGACACTGTGTTCGAGAGAGACTAATGTTAGATGGCATAATAAAGACAACCTGAAGGACCTGAGAGTCATCATTCGCACAAAGTGTCAGCAAGGTCATCTGGCTGAGGGATGGTGAGTCTGTTATTTACATATGCCATGGGCAATGAGGTAATAAGGTCTGCTTAGTTTCTCCATTTTTAGTAATTTTAAAAAGTGTTTAGACAACCATTAGCAAACTGACCAGCAATCTGTTTAATTTGCCTACCTATTATCTGCTTTAATGCTTGCATTGACCTGGTAATCTTACACATCTTTTTAAGACAATAAAATGAAGATGCTTACTGTACACCAGTGGCCTATACACCACTCCAAAGTATCAAACTACATCACCACTGTAGGTAAGCTTAATCTCAACAAAAAAAAGATTATTTCATATCAGATGTCATATCATATTTGTATGTACAACAGTTTCATTGCATTTAGTGTAACAAACATGTGATTATAATAACATTGAAAAAGAAACCCAACTAAATAAGCAGTTTAAAAAAGATATGACTCAGCTCAGATGCCTCACATGCTGCTCCTTGCCTTAATATGTCTAGTCCTTAGTCAGGTTTTTGAATATCAGGGTTAATAACTCACTGAAGGATCCAATCCTCAAGATTACGTGTGTTTGATTTTGTTTACACCATCTGCCATCAGATGCAATTGAATGTACTGCATGGTGTAATCTGATACATCCGGGGGTGATGTTTTGCTGCTGTTGTGTGTGTGTGCCTGTGTGTGTGTGTGTGTGTGTCTGCGTCTGTGCATTAGTGTGTGCAGTGTTACACAGCTCATAGCTATCCCTTAGGAATTGAAAATAGCCTGCAGATGTCCTGCAGGAATTTATCCCAGTCTTATTGTGAACCATGTTCTCTAAGTTAAAATTGACTTGTTATGGTGATATCACATGCATTTTACTGAGGCACTAAAAAATACTATGCATACTTAATAAAGTGCTTTGAGTCTGTGATCTTTTTTCTGTAAAAAAAAATGAATCTCTCCTTTTTTTAATTATTTTTTTTCTGTTTCCAGCTACAGTGTAACGGTGCTACTGTAACATGAAAAGTTGTTCTGGCTTTCAGAAGACATTGCCATGTCATCCTATTAGTATTATTATATGATACTATAGTGTACCTGTGTAAGCATTTACCACAGCAGTTATCACAACAAAAACACTCATATTAATATTCCAATCCAAGTTTAGAAGAAGAAGAAGAAGAAGAAGAAGAAAGGGGTTTATTGCCAAATGTTGAGCAGGTTTACAACATTAGGAAATTGCTGCGGTGCTTCAGTGCAAACATAGTGTCATAAATAGCACTTAAATAGTGTCATAAATAGCACTTAAATAGACATGAAAAAATAAAAGTAGGGATAAGAATTAAAAGTGCTACGTAGAAAGTTTACCATTTAGGTTAGTAATTGAGTTGGTATATAAGGGGTTAACTGATAGGCTCAATGGATTTTGGTGAGGTTTAAGGGTGATGGGAAATACCGGCAATTAATGTGATTTCTTTTTAAAAGGGATAAGTCATTAGTATCAGTTGGCCTTTTGTAACAGGAAATACAGACTGCTTAGTGAAAACTGCTCTTCCAGCAAAGAGTTCTTAATCTTTGTTAGAGACATTTTACTCAATAGGCTCACTGATTTTGTGGCAAGAGTTTGGTAAAAGACGATAATTGATATAATTCTAATTTAAAATGCCTGAAACAAGGAAATGGGTTTGCTTAGCTGCTAATTAACACATCATATACTGATAACATAATCTTCACACGAAAAAAAAAAGTGTGCATCATCATCTTGATGATCACCAAGACTTAAAATAGATGATCTGACACAAATATTCAAAAATAAGAAAGCAGTAACGGGACGAAAAACGTCTTCAGAGCACAATATCTGGTTCTTTTATTAAAACGTACAAGCTTGTATACACAAGATGTTGTTGTAAAAGTAACTGACTTTCAAGGTGTATTCGGGACACATCTAGTCCCTGAGCTCACAGTTTTGGCGCAATGTCTGTTAAATGCAAGCACAGATTAAAGATTATACTGTTGACAAAACTGAAAACATAATCTGTAGCTTAATTCAGTTCACTTTTGAATTCTGGGTCAGTTTTGAGTGAATTCAGCAGCTGGTTTCTAAATGAGTGGAAAAACAAAGCCTTTTTAAATTCCACGTCATTCCAGTTCATCACTCTTTCTAGTCCATAAAAATGGTGTCTAAGTCTTATATAACACATGTACTTGGATCAATCTATCAGACCAAAATGACAGAAAATACATGACTTCTTACAAACAACCGTGATATTATTATAACTGGTGACCGTAACATTGAGCTAGTGGGTTGTAATATTGCCCCGGAGAATAATGTGCTCCTACATGAGCACATAGTTCAAAGAAAATTTTTAATGTCTCCAAATCCAGTGGTCCCTGACACTTTCCAAGTCATTTTCTTGTCTGAGCATGTTAATTTCCTGGTCCCTTCACATTAATGAGGCTACCGTGCCCACAGTGGATGGGCTTGTTTTTGACACTTTGGGTTTTGTACAGAGAAAACAAAATATTAAATATTAATTGTTGATTCATTGTTAAAATTTAAATGCTCATGGTTAATCCTTTTCATGATTGGACAGAGGCAGAGAGGCTCCTCTCTCGTTCCAGTGTTAATGCTAATGGAACTTTCCTGGCTCCAGTGGACAAGCATTAGCAGTATCAATCATTTCCACAAGATATTTGGCATGAATCCAGCACTGTGGAAGGAAAGTGTGTTTCATGTGTTCATACAAGGTTTAGCAAAATACAACAACAGCAAGTTCTTCAAAGATGTATCACAAGACATACAAAAAGAGGATGTTACATATGAATTATTGTCTTTTTTTCTTGACACCCCAGAGCATCTTCAGTTCAAAGAGGTAGACTAGTGATAAATATGTCACTGGTACCAAGCCAGGATAAGGCATTACTAGCTTTAAATCCCTCAGCACTGATGAAAAAAAGACTTACTGCACACACAGAGAAACTGGTACTTTCAGCAACACAAAGACCTTCACACACACATACACAAACCTATACTTTGACAATAAGTTGTCAAAATGAAAGTGACCTTTGTGGTCTAGTTTCACAGGACAGATGGCAGCCATCAGCACAACACAATGTGGTCTAAGAGGCTGTATTGGAGCCCTCCCTCTTTTCCACGTCTGTTTTACGCTTATTTTATGTCCATGTTCATTATTGCAAGAAAACAAGGTCAAAACACAAAAGATCTGACTTTTTTTTAAATCATTTTAAAGCAGCATTATTCATGCTGCAGTGATTCCGTTTATATGTTGGTCCACATTTCTATTTTAATTAGTCAGCTATTAATGTTTAACAGCAATTCTAATTTACATTTAATCTTAAGAAACAGTTTTGCTTTGCCCCTATTATATAATGGGAAAGGGAAGTGCTCTTTAGAGTGTTCCTCCAGCCCCTGCGGTTTAACAACTAAAGATTTGGATTAACTTCTCAAAATGAAAATATTACTCTTACGTCTGCATATCTAAGTTGGGGTTTTTAGGCATTTCCAAAATTTAAACTCTCTTACTGCACTAAAATTTGTAATATGCAAGATTTAACAATGTGTGAATTTTTATGTTTATGGATGAGTGCATGTCTATATTGGTTTTTCCCATCACAGTATTTATGCATACACTTTGTAGACTGTTTGCATATGATAGTGTGCAAGTCTCTCTGAGTTCATTTGCTCTAGCTTGTGTACTCACATACCTCCATATGTCTCATAATCCAGGAGACTGGCACACATCATAGCACTGGGAGCAAGGGAATTCAGAGCTGTTCTGCCACATTCATCCGTCTAAAGAAACAGACAGAGAGAACTTATGTGGCAGTGTTTAGCATATTACACAAAATAAAGAAAGAATTTGACTGCGCACTGGGAACGGCTGCCTCACTGAATGAGGAATCAACTGTGGTGAAGATTCAAAGGGCCAATTTTACACTAGCTTATGAGAAAGGGAGTAAATAGAGGGATGCACGGTGCCTAGAGACTGCCAGATGTTACACAAGGGAATTCATCTGCAGCAAGAGTGACCATGGGTGGAATAGTTCTAAATTGGCTCTGAAAAATTGGGTCCTCACATACAAACAGATGAAGGGAATATTTGGGATAGAGTGCTTCATGAAAAATGGTTGTCAGTTTATCTCCTTGCATTTTTCATTTCTGCTGTTCTGTTATCAGCTGTTTTCCTGCCTCTTGTTAGATTGTGTAATAATGCTACAACAACACATGGCTACTTTTTATTGTGTATCTAACTTTAGATTTTCCCATTTTACTATAAAACTAAATAAAACAAAGAAACAAACTAAAAAGAGTAATAACTGAATCATCCCTCTTCAGATTACATCTTCAGGACTACTATTTTGGCAGATTTTGTCTCTAAAATGTGTCTTTTTATGCATAAAAATAAGAGTCTGTTCAAAAAATATAAACTAATTAATTAACATTATAACATAGACATTTAAAAAGGCCATATTGTCAACTCAGTATATCTTAACCTCAAATATTACTAAACATTATTCAAAGTTATTCTTCACCATACACAATATTCTGCACACAACACCCAATAATGACTTTAGGGTTTGCTTGTATAAATGTGTATATATAAATTCAAAGAATGTATTTAAAAATATAAATGTAAAATGTTATAAATGTGTATTTAACATTTTACACACGTATTCACAGCCTGACATGACACTCAAAGTTGAGCACAGGTGCATCCTGTTTCCACTGATCATTTGTCAGATTTTTCTCGACAACTTGGCTGGAATCCACCTCCAGTAAATTCACCTAATTGAACATGATTTGGAAGGGCACACACCTGTCTATATATGGTATCATAGTTGACAGTGGATGTCAGTGCACAAACCAAGCAATGAAGTCCAGGAATTGTCTGTAGATCTCTGAGACAGGATTGTATCAAGGCACAGATCAGGAGAAAGGTACAGAAAAATTTCTGCAGCAATGAAGGTCACAATAAATCACAATGGCCTCCATTATCTGTAAATGGAAGAAGAATGGAACCACCAGGCCC